TTTTTTTTTTACAATTGTGACCCTCCACAGGATTTTAATGCTAAAGGTGAAAGCACGCGCACTACACGCTTTCACTTTAAAACAAAAGAATTTATTTTAACACGCTTTAGCACGCTTGCAATCTTGCCTCATTAGCAATTTCTTTTGTTTCAGAGGACACGCTTGAGACAATTAACCGTGAGCAAGTCGAACAAAAGAGTGTGTTAAAGTTTTCAAACCAAAGCTCCGTGCGAAAAAGCACAACACGCTTTCAGTGTGCGCTAAAGCACGCAAGACGTGTTATCTATAAGCTAAATAAATTTCCTCTACAAAAAGAAACCGTAATTGATTATGAACGGCACCCTTTTTGGTAACTATCGAGAAAGAAAAAGTTATTCCTCAGCGATCGCAGCGATAGTATCTGATTAAAAAAACGTTGTCGCTTGAAAAGTATAAACAGTGAACGGTGTGACCACTGGATTTATGGGTAGAACTATATTAATATTAGCATTGCGAAATCAAAGTTCTTTCCAGATAATACGGCGTGTTTTTAGAGTACTAAAGTTCGATCCGAGAATTAAATCTCTGTCAGTCACACACTGAGAAAAGAGAAAAAGAACTAAATTAAAAGTAGTCCGCGTTGTTCCATAAAGTTCGGTCATTGAATTAATTCATCGAGCTCGATCTCAAGGGGTGACGGTCAAGCTACTCGAAAGTGATGTCGTTTGAATAGTCGTCCAAAACCTGATAATATGAGTTTTGTCGCCCAAAATTCAAAGAAAAGTCGCCATAGTCATTCTACAGTGTTTTTAGTTTACAGATTCTTGTTTTTTTCGTCCTGTGAAGAACGAGAGATAGTACACGTTTAAAGCGCTTGACTCGTCTTAGCATAGTGCAACGAGATATCTTCACATAAATTATGATTGATAGCGCTTCGTTCGTCAGGGGCACCTGACAGCGATTTCCTCCTAAATGCATCCTAGCATCCTAGGACAACTTCAGTCTTTTCGAAATTACAAGGGCTTCAGCATTATTTTCCCGAAAAATTTAGCTTCCAATTGAAAGTTTTAGGAAAGTGAGAATTTTATCGTATTTTCGGTTCCGAAAATTTTAGGATTCCTTAATTCTCTACGAAAAATAGCTTAACTGGGGAATGAAATGGAAAAAATTAAACTTCAGAAAATCGTAAGGAATTAATTAGATAACCTTCGAAAATTGTACATGCCTGGAACGGTCATCTAGAAATGTTTAGCCTTCCTCAACCTATAGAAAATTCTAGGCAGTTTTTGTTTCTCCGATCTAATTACCTTGTTCATCTCAGCATGGCTTAAAGAAATATATTAAACTAATTTATTCAACTTCATTTCTCTGTGCATTACTGCTAATAAATATTCCGGTGGCATAACTATAATTTTCAGGCGACATAACTTCAGTGCCTCGCATGCGATAGCAGGCCTCTTTGCGAGTCCGGTCAACAGCCCACAGCCGGAGGAATTGGTTTACACTGATGTCGCGTTAATTCCAGGCTAGACCATCATTTAGTCGTGATTTTCAAATGGCCACGGTTACGATCAAATTCCAAAACAGTCTCAATTGGTATATTTGATTGACTTCGACCAGTTATCAATGCTGATTAAATCCGCTGAAAACCCAAGCCATTTTTATCATCTTAATAGCGGTTTTAGTAATCAAGCGTGTTCAGCGTGTCTCACCCAAATTGCACGCTAACCGTGCTATAATTCGCACACTTACCGTGACATATGGCACGCTACGAAAAAAGAAAAGGTCTAGCGTGTTAAATTTGCCAAAACAAAGGCAAGTGTGTCCGTCTTTGTTTTTTCAATTTAATATGCGCATATCCGTGATCTACGGCACGCTAAGCGTGTCGTGCAAGCGTGTCGTGCGCGTGCTTTCACCTTTAGCATTAAATTCCTGTGGAGGGTCACAATTTAAGATTTTTTACAAGCGAGTAAAATGAACATTGTTTGCTTCTAAAAGAAATCTTGGTTTTGTGGCTTTATAATCATTACAAGTTATAATTTTACAAAAAAATGAATTAAACTTGTTCAGGATCAATACAAGTGTACACGTCTAAGTGAGGACAAAAGAAATTAACAGCGCTTTTTTTTCTTAAGTAATTTCAAGGTGAGACACCTCCTCTCATGGTTGGATCATGACTAGAACGTTATTGCGCAGTGCGTTCCGCAACAAACGACAAACATTCCTCAATCGGTGGTTTGCACTGTTTAAATCTTGAAAAAGGGATATTCGCGTACCACGTAACCTTTAATCCCAACTGAAAAATGGTTTAGTTATTAAACGTTCTTGTATAAGATAGCCGGTATCGCCGCCGCAATAAATGGAATTTTACCCAATGTTAATATTGTATGCGAACACCATGTCTTTACGCCGCAGTGTTTATCCTGATAGATTACGAGACGGACTTTTTCTTTATCCCCAAATTTCTCATGAGCTAAAGGCTCTGAGGTAAGTTTAGGCATTCAATAACCCAATTTTGTAAAATAAACCGCACTGGATTTCATCCTGGCTTTATGTTACTGCACACATTCATGAAAAGGCAGTGATTTAAGTCCCAGCTGAATGTATCTGTAGTGTTTAACTTCAAGTTAAGGCGAAAATACTTATACTTACACTCAGTCTAATCGTGATTGATTTCCTGTATCAATCCGTTTTCCCTCTTTATTCTGCTTTCTCCTTCCTGAGAACTAAGTTAATTTGAATTCTGTGTTCGTAGTTAGGAACAACAACAGTCGAGCAGTCAGCACTCCAATTTTTCGTCGATGAATAGTCTAAGGAAATATAGAACAAAGATCCAGCTGTCTAACAAAAAATTATCATTTGTGATAAGTCATGGACTATTAGCTTTTGTTGTGCCTGAAAATGATAAACATTTTAGCACCTTTTTATTCCTCTTTCAACAGAATGGATTAACGAATTTCTAATTGAAAATCGTAATATCGGCCAAAATGAAATTTCTGACAAGTATAATTTTCGTTTAACCAATGAAAATCTGCGCTGTCTTTAGATAAAAGAAAAAAGTGCCTTTGACGTTTGTCATCTACAGGTGATTGTTTGGAAATTAATTTTAATAAAGGCCTTTGGTAGAATGTTGCAACTCAACCTTGGCTTTCCGTATCTCTACTTTTCGGTTTTATTTGAATAACCAGTTTGCAATTGTATGTGGCATTGTACACTGACTTTTTGCTACTTTTTGTTCACAACAAAAGTGACTTGACGATTTGTTTTGAAAACAACTACAGTACAGATTAACGGAACGCCTCGAGGACGGCATAGAAAAATGATTCATGTCTCCGGCATGAATTAGTCGTAGCTTTTACTTCAGTCAGTCATGAGACCCCTCGACCTGGCGCTCAAGACGTTCCAGCTTAGCAGGAAGTAGCCTACGGTGCTTTCCCTATATCTGACCTCTATATGTCTTGTGGGGCAGTTCTTTTTTCCTCGCTTTTTAAAGGAAAAAAAAACACCTGATCGTAGGTTAGGCAGGAAGAGAAGCCCGGAAAACCTTCCTGCAATCGATCTGACGTTCCAAGTATAGAGCTCCGCAGTGAATGTATAGCTAACAATACCTCAGTTAAACCTATTTGGGTATAATACTACTATCCTAGTAAAAGACTGAACGTTAATCGTTGTCTAGAGAACAATAGTACGTATTATAAGTAGTCTGCAGAGCATCTAGAATTGTGCTAATCTTACCAAAGGATTTCTTAGTTTTCTTCCGAAGACATCACCAATATCCTTTTTTTTTTTTTTACTAAATTATCTGTTTACATATTACAATTTTTTTTGCTTTTGTTTTTGTCATCGATCGCATGCACTGATTTCAAGGCGCGTTTTGAAGCTGAGAAACGGTGCCAACAATGGAGCATTGAAATCAGTTTTGAGATGCTTCATGAATGTATGGCATATACTGTATATATTGGCTTTCGTGACCAAGATTCATAGAACAAATTAGTTCAAATCATGCAATTCATCCAGTCAAAGAAGCCGTCTCTATATCACAAAAGTCAAGAAACTGACCCCGGAAATTGCATCCTCTTCGATAAAGAAAAGTACACCACTCCTCGTCTTTTTTTTTTTTTCAATGGAAGGTACCACTGTACATCATCCTGCGCTGTGAAGTCTTTAATTTTACGTTTAAATGTGTATTGAGATGAAAGAAGGAAAAGTATTTTTATATTAGATGGTCGAGTGAACGTTACCTGTCTGCTCCTAAATCAAGGATCTTGGGGTTGCAATCTTTCGAAAATCAGTTTTTGAAATAGAAATTCAAGAAAAAGATTCAATTAGTTATGTACATCTATGTATCCGGTTGCCTATCAAAATAATGGCACAAAAATGATCTTCAGGAAAAAAAAGCCCAGAAAAAAAAGAAGCTTAGTAAAATCTCGGCCGCCAGAAGAATCACTGACGAGTATTTAAAAAGACTGGATTTTGAAGCGTTCAAAAGCAATTACTTTTTAAACTTAGTACAAAGATAACGCTCAAATAGGAAATGTACAGTTTGTTTGTTGGCCTAGGGTGAACTATTTACATCCTGTATTTTCCTTTCTACGCGAGTGCTGGCTGTAATCTGATTTAATCTGAGTTTGCATCCTAACATAGAAATTACATTAAAATGAACATAATGTAATAAAATGGTTTTTTCATTATTCGGGTGAGGATTTTGTACATCCATAGTTGGACGAATATAAGAAAACCAGGCTCTTCGTTATACATAATGAGACATAATTAGTTTGTAAGGATAAAATGGGGAGCTTTTTCGGCAGGTTGTCAGTTTCCACGTCACGTTTCTCAACCTTTCTTATGTAAATCATGTTTGACGTCTTTCCGTAACCACTTTCATGCGATCAGCCAATCTGCACGTCAAATAGCTGGGCTTAAATGCAAGATTTAAAAAAAACCTTCAAGGAATAAGGCAAGTGGGGGAAAACGCCAGCCATAACTTAGTTTCCAGATTTAAATAACCGATATTTAGGACTATGCGTGAGATATCGGATACAACGTCAAATACACTTAACAAAAGCGTTGGTGCGAACAATGGATCAAACAATAGTGAAGTTGACCCAGACTTACGATTTCTTACCTTGCCACTGGTTCTAGTGTTCGCCTTCATCGGCATACTAATCGCTGCCGTGAATTCTCTTGTAATCTTCTTGATGTACAAAAAGAAAACACTGAGAACCCCCACTAACGTTTTCCTAACGTCATTGGCAGTCTCCGATCTGATTTCAGGTGTAGTAGGAATTCCTCTTTTCTTTGTGTGCTCAACGGTGGAAAGGGGATTTTATTCATGTGTGACTTCTGCGATTTTTATTCGCTTTACAGCCATTTCGTCAGTATGCCACGTCCTCCTCATCGCTTATGATCGTTATATCCATATAGTTCATCCCTTGCAGCACACTTATGTCATCACCAAACGTAGAGCGATTGGTGCCATTGTCTTCGCGTGGCTGTTTTCTTTCGCTGCGTCCGTTATTCAGTTGTCTTGGTATGGGCTTAACGAAAGCGACTTGAGAGACTACGACGCGACAACCGAAAACATCGATTTGCAGTACAGTAGGGCCTGTCTTGTACTGTTCTTTGGTATCCCTCTGTTTTTGATGTGTTTTATTTATGGACGCATATTTTACATTTCATTTACACACATGGAAAACGATCGTCGCCTTACCAATGCCCTGCAACAACCGCGTTGTCTACGTCGTCGCGAATGGAGGGGAAGTAGTGTTCTGTTGATGATGGTGGTGATATTTACTGGCTGTTGGTTGCCATTTTTCTTGCAAATGTTAAATGATCACAAAGAATCGTCACTGCTTTCACCAATGCCTCTCTGGGCGAGGCGTTTGCTGGTAATTCTTCGCTTCATACCGCCTTTTTCAAATCCGCTTCTCTGTACATTATCCAAGCATGATTTCCGTTCTGTGTTTAAGACAGCGGTCTTTCAAAAAATTTTGATGGGATTGTCTATGGAGGTAGCAGAGCAAATAACTCTAAACACGCGTGCCTCTCAGTCCATGCATATTGAGACTACCAGATTCCGCAGTGTTTCCAGTGCAATGAATTCCCATTGAGAAAGAAGAGACAGGGACGAGATCTACTACCCAAAATATATCATGGTGACTAAAATTGTGGGCTTGTTATCTGCAAGAAAAGAATGTGAAAATCAAGTCCGTGAGGTTTTCAAAATTGAGGCTTTCTTCTGGAATTGGTGCATTGAGGGGGTAAATTGAAGACGCTGGACTTTCGATTGTTGGTGTTACGCCGTGTGCGTGTGTGCACGTAGAGGCAAAGTATCACAAATCTACCCCTCATCATTCAAACATAAATGAGATTTTAGTTACAAGTTTCGTTATAATACTTCTGCGAAAATAGCTGAACGATATATACTCTTGAAAGTGTCACTAAAAATGCAACATATAGAAAATTCAAATTTTATTGGTTTTCATTACTTAAATTCTCCTTTTAGTGACTGAGGTCTTGCTAATAGTTACTATATTAGTGGATAAGAACATTGTTAAACATTTTCTTTGAGAAGGTAAACTTGAAAATATCTGGGCGGACGCTTTTAATCTTGAAAGTCTTATTTGATGAAATCGGTCGACATCCTTGATCAACTAGGGAGACTTTGTCGCCAGGAGAAATTCTCTACATCAGCGAATGTACCTTTAGGTTTACGTTGTAATAACGTGTTACGCTGCACGGTTAAAGGAATGGTGTATGGCTTGTTCCAGGTGTTCAGATCGTGGGAACGGAACGAGGAAAAGTGAGGAGGGAGAAAACAGCAATTTTATCCAGGTCTCCAACTCATATTTGTTCAAGAATTTCTGTTGAAAAGTCACTGTATAATATACCTCAGAAGACGCCTTACATCTATTGAGCCGTCCTTCATCAGCGAAGGCAACCTTTGTGCGTTTGGTAACTGTTTGAGGTTAAACGCCAACAATTCCCAATAGCATGTAAGCAAACTGATGAACCTTAGTTACGACCTGAGCTGAGATACTGTTAAACTTAAAAAACTGCTGGTCTCTCCTCCTCCTTTGTTTTCGTCCTTTTTTTTTTGCTTAACTCTCCATTATTACCCGTGCCAATCTCTACTGTCAGACTGTCTGAACGCCTGGAACGGTCTAAGCTGTGTCACGATATCGAGCCAAGTTTAGCCAATAAGAACTGACCACCAAATTAAGCGACACGTGTACATAAACGCTTAAAACATTGAAAAGTGGGTTAAATAACACAGCGGCACTAGATACAAAAGATTGAAGGGATAGGAAAAATTCAAGGAAAATTGAAAATTGTTCAGCCTGATAATTAAATTTTCTGTTGCCTTGTAACTTCTGATAAAATCGCATGCTCTAAATACATATTTTTTTGGTCAGGAGGCTGTGAATTTGCAGTTGTCAATTATAAGTAATTTATTTGCTAACATTAAGTTCCATAGCATGCAAGAGCGAGTAGTTCTGACTAAACCAAAACTGGCTGGACTGACACAGGCCCTTAAAGTGCTTTGACTCGACACTGATGTAAACAATAGGTAGCTTAAGCACCGAGAACGGCAAAAAAGCAGTAGGTTAAGATAAGAAGAAGAAACAACTTTGCACGTGCACCACTCTTTTTTGTACATTTCTTTGCCGTCGCTGCATGACTACCACGTGAAAGTGACTAATTTTCCTTTCCTGAACTTTGATACAGTCTTTTAGAATTCTGCTCCGGTAAAATTTGCCAACATTTGACGAGTTGAACAAGTTGGAATAAGTGCGATAAAGTTTGAAGTAGCGCGAATCCACTTTTAAAGTGACGTTTTGGTAGCCGTCGCCATCGTTGTTGCTTAAGCTCCCTAATAAAAGGCGACATTATTTTCTGATTCAGCATCTTAGCTGCAGCCGAAGGTATATCATTTGGATATAACTGGCACCAAATATCACATAATTATGCTATCTCAGTTGCTCGCTTTTGTTTATTTCCTCGCATTTGTTGACCTTTTAAGGAAAAAGCCTTTTGCCTTAGGAATTCTTCACGGGCAGCTTTGTTGATAGAGTGAGAATAAGCATCATTCTCAAATAATCGCAATGCTTATAATTCACCTTCAAATTTCATCATAAAATTTTTTGCTGTTATATCTATACCCCAACCTAGAATCAACTGGATTGAAAATCAAACTTTTCACAAGGCTGCTTATTCATAGAAGTTGACAGTAGAGTGCACCTCTAGCTCTACTGACTGGCGGGTATTCTTGAGCTCTCTAGTAATTTGGAGCCCACAATTTTGATTACTGCGAGGACTCCATAACGCGGATTTTTGTTGTTGTATTGTTGCTTGTTATGCTTACGAGTCGCCCTTAGAGTTATTGTCAATAAGGTGTTATTCGCAGAGAAGCTGATCTATGGTACAACAAAAAAGCTCAGCCGACAATTAAATTTTAGGCAAACGTGTGATGTTAGGAGCTAACAGCTAACAGTTTCAAGCAAAAACTGTTACATTTGGTGTTAAATTGAAATCGGTGTTCAGTGATTCAGCTATTTCTCTGTCGCATATCTGTGGACCCTTTATCACTTTCTTGAGTTGTGCCCTCATGCCAAAACAGCGAAGCTGCAGCGCCGCTGTCTTGGGTGACGTCGATCGTGGATAATAACGGTTCACAATCATTGTCTTTGATATACAAACGTATAACGAGTGAAACAAACGAATCTTTTTGTCTCAAGAACCAAGGCGCTTCTGGTTGGCACATTTATAGCATGGGTCACGTCAGCTTGAGCATCGCTTTATATAGTCATTGACGTCTCAGTGACGGACGACAATAGGGCCACTTTATACGAGGAAAAATAAGACGCGTCTTAAATAAGACGCAAACTGTACCATTTATACGAGCACGTCTTATCTAAGACGAGAGCAGCTCGTATAAATGGTTCGCGTCTTATTTCTGTTCTTGACTCGTTTTCATGTGAATGTTGCCCGTAGCAACTCCAATCCAACGTAGCGCGCCAAAAATTAACGCACGCGTACTATGCGTTCGCGTCTTATTTAAGACGCGAAGGTCATTTATACGAAGTTTTTCTCGTCTTAGCTAAGACGCGTCTTATCTAAGAACAGGTGTTAAGGGCTGTTCTAAAATAAGGCGCGTCTTATTTTAGATGAAATGTGCCGTTGATACGGAAAGTTCGCGTCTTATTTTTCCTCGTATAAATGGCCCTAATGATGTTATAACCTAGGCATCTTCCAAATTTGGGCAGTGCCAGCTGGTTATGAAGAATTGGCTTGAGGATGTAAGAGAATAACAAAAGGAGAAATATTTCGAATAAATACTGTTAAAAGCAATTTTGCCATGTTAAAGAGACTCTGTAAAGGTAGCCATCATGGCGAGTCAACTTTGTGACGGTTTTTTCATGATACGATCAAGTTTGAAACCGTTAGTTGTGCGATGGCTGCAAAAAAACGCTGCCAAATAGTGTGGTGCACGTTCAGAGTTTTTGTTTCGCTTATTCAACCTGTTGCTTTTTGTATTGATTTTCTCGTTTCCACCGAAGTCGTCCGCGTGCTTAATCGAGCTCGCTAGTAGAGTTACCAAGTAAAACAGTTCTTGATAAGTGACGATTTTATTGAAAAAAGCGACGATGGAAACCGCGCGACAAAAACTACTTCCGGTAACGGCGAGTTGCTTTTTCTCGCCGGAGTGCACTAGAGAAAATCGTTATAACTGGGTACAGTCGACTTTCTCAAAGACGGACACCTTCGGGACCGGCCATGACTGTCCGTCTATAGAGAAGTGTGCAGCTTAGAGGTCGAGGTAACCTGACACCAGTGAGTTAATAGCTGAACTTGTTAGCAATGAATACATGTCTGATTAACTTGTACAACAAAGCTTAAACTGGAACATTGTAAATTGAATTCTCAGAGAAAAGTGAAATTATTTCCTCATTATGCGATCAAACGTTCACTACAGGCAAACGTTCACGGCTTCATGGTGAAAAAGCGTACTAGTATACACTGTGCGAACTGGAGCAAGACTGCTAAGTGTCAACCATCTTGCAATTTGCTGTCAAGTACAGCAACTACATTTTGATTTTGAGGTATTTTTCACCGTATAAAGCACTTATGAATTGTCTGTTGGCGGTTTCAAAAGTGTTCCGTCTGTATAGAGCGTTTTCACTCACGTGGACAGCATCTATGCAAATTTATTGGAACAAAAGAAAGCGTTTCCATAAGAAAAGAGTTCAACTCCCACAGGATAGGTTTGGGACACCAACATGGCCGCCTTTTCATTGATTTCGGACACCAATACGGCCGCCGTGACGTCATGTGAAAACACGCTGTAGAGAGTATAGTTACAGTAAAAAGACTGAAAAACGGTAGGGACCAACACCAGGTGTTGGCTTTTTAATACCTCTTTTTAGTGTATTTATATTTTAATTACCTACCTTTGGAACACTTACGATTAATAGCAAATAACTTTTTGTATTTTCCCCTTTCCATCTTATTTTTGATTTCCCTGTTAAATTTTTTTGGTTGAAATACATTTTTATATCTCCAGTATACCATGCTCGGAAAATAACAGCAAACCTACCAAAAAAAAATACTTGACTCATTAAAATTTGCCTAATATCTCTAATTTAATGTTTAATCTTTTAAATATCATTTTATTTTTTTCAGTTTGGTCTCTCTTCGCCGTGAGGATGATGCTGCTGTTTCTTCTACTTCGTCTTTTTTTACTGATCCAGATCTACAAGAAAGCACAGGAAGGCCTACACAACGCAAACTGTGTGACCGTTCGTCTGTTTAATTAAGAGGAAATGTACGAGGACATCGAAAAGGTTCATAGCATCGTTATACACTTCAATAAATAATTAGCCATAGGATGGGTCCAGCGCCAAGCAGATTTTACCAACACTGATTCGCTTCGGACAGATGCCAAACCACGCACCAGGTAAGCTAAAACCTAGAGGTCCGCTATTGTACATATAAAATTATTTGAAATCCGTCCAAAACTTAAAGAGCTAGACCTCAAGTAATATTGCAATTCGATTGCTGGAAATCCACTCGGCAATCGAATCTCGATAGAATCGTAGCTAGAGTTTAA